TGGGCTTAACAGGCTAACTTAAGGTTTAACCCTGTTTTTCAGTGTTACAAGATTGGTACACATTTTCCTTGATAACTTTTAAAATGTTCTGGAGGGAATTATTTTTGAGATATGAGAGCAAAATATAAAAAACTAAATATTGTCACCGTTCCTTAAAGAGTCCAAAGATATCGTTTCCCTGACAGTAATAGGTCCTGTAGTTCTGACAAACTATATACAGTCTGTTGTTCCCGGATACGCATCAATAAATATTAAGAGCACCTTTATTTCTATGCTAAGGATGTCGTAGTGTAATCACAGCTGATGTGAAGTTTCACCTGGCATTAGTTGAATGAATGATGTCACATTGGAAGTTAACATTTGGTGTGAAAGAACCAACAGGGTAAGTGAAAAAGATATCCTGGATATCCCGAACTTGCTTTGTAGCACACATCCCTGATGTATACTGTCACTTTCCTAATTAAGAATCTCTGAACTGTGTCTGTCATCTGTATTTAACCTGTCGGCAACACTAAATACTGGACAACAGTTTTAAGAACTACTTACCGTACAGAAGAGGTAGGTTCAGTAATCTGTCTCTGAACCCTGTCCCTGGCCAGAGTGTGAGCATGGTTTTTCTCCACCTTAGTTTGCGTCTCCAGTGGGATGTCAGGTGATGTGTGGCTTATCTTCAAGGCCGACTCAGGGACAGGCACACCCGAAGGGGGCCCCGAAGGCTCCTTCACACAGCCATCTTCACTGTATTCCCTTTCCTCCCCGTCCACCTGCACAGCACACATCAGTGTCTGCATTACTGCATGCTATTAAATATATATAATGTGGGAATGCTTAATTGGACTGTTAAATTAATTTCTTGGTTGTATTTTTAAACATAAGTGCCTTAAACCTGAAATGCTTCCAGCTCTTTAAATACTTGACTCATTATCCTTTTTCTTATTTTAAGATAAAAAAAAATTAAAAGACATGTACTTTTTTGAAGCATGATGTGTTCTGTTGTAGATTTATTCCTGTAGCGCGACTGCCACTAATCACAGTTAAAAATGTTATAATATGAAGCTCTAAAGACTGCCTTTCTTGGAAAATAAGTTAAAAAAAATAAGTGCATGGCAACAATCAAATAAAGAGATTGATACCTGCAAGGTTGTTAGCTTAGCATTAGATGAAATAAAAAAAATAGGTCAAGGACAGTCCAGTAAGTCTTTCCTAAGTTTTTGGGATCTTATCATCGCTGTAAAGTTGGCAGACAACCACCAAAAAAGAAGCAAATCTTTTGACTGTAGCTCTGATTGATTAAGCTAACAGTTGTTTTAGCTTCCCTTTGCGCTAACATAGCTCAGACGACAAATACTGAGGATGAAATTTGTACACAATTTGAAAGCAGTGGTGGCAGTGTACTTGCACCAGTACAATGCCAAGTAGAAAACCCCAGTCAAATAGAAAATACATATTATAAAAAGGTTTCCTGTTTGTGTGTATAATTATAGTTCAAATAGCACTACTGCTTGAAACAGATGCAAAACTATGTTACTAAGTTCTCTCTTTAAGGCCATCTAATAGAGAACAGGACATTTTGGATCACTCTGGGTGATTAGATCTTTAGTCATGTAAAGGTTGAGTAGAGCTGGAATTATTTTAAGTGAAAAAACTCTACTGACCAAGAAAAATGATATGGTTACACTGCCCAGTCCCAACAGCTTCAACAAGCCCAACAAAACTTTCAAAAGAGTAGACTCTCAGAGACACTGCTTCTTGTACCCGTGTGCTTCTTTGTTAGCACCAATGCTAACAGGTTAGTCTCATGTGAGTTGTTTGTTTTGTAGAGATTGGATGTGACACATTTGTCAGCAAAAGTGGACCACAAACCACTTTTTATAGTCATATCTATATCATAGCAATAGCATAATTTATGCTTTTCATTACATTTTTAATATCTAGAATATATAAGAAGATAGCTGTAGTCCTGAACCATTTTATACATTACCTTGGGTATCTGCATTCTCACCCTGACTCGCTTGCTCCCCCTTGTATTTTAAAGAATCTTTCTTTTTTTAGCACGACATTCTGGCGCGACCGCTTTAGTGTCCCCGTTTGTTACAGTGGCACAACTGTGACTATAATTGTCAAAGGTAAACTCAATGTAGAAAGACCAGGCTGGCAGTAGCAGAGCTGCAGAAGCGACACTGATGGTATAGATGACACCTGCTTGCAATCAGCAGCATTTCAGTTCAGGTTGTCATCGTGTACCGATTAGCTGAGCAGCTCTTTGGGCTTGAGAGAAATATTACAGTATGAGGTTGTAGTATGACCTTTAAAATGGATTTTAATTCTAATTTGGCAGTGGCTATCTAACAACATCATTACAGCACAATATCAAGTATTAAACTGTGTTGTATAAGAGTTTTATACAAATCATATTCTATAAAGGCCGTATTATTTTAGGAGTAATCTTGCAGTGCAAGTAGACTGATTACATACCAAAATGCGGCAATAAGACAAAGTGAAATACAATTTTCACTGGAGATTTTTGGAGTATCTGGTTGTCGAAGATGCACACCATATCTTTGTAACAACCGGGTTGGATTTTGGCCGAATATGACTTTGGTTGCATGTGATATCCTCTTGTGACCCCTGGTTTCCTATCTGCATCTGTACTGTGAAATTCAATACTGGCAAATTCAAAGAAAAGTATTCTTTAAAAAAAAGATTTTTACTGCTCCTTTCTGTTTACATGATATTCCCATTAAAACTAAATGTTGCTCATACAAGTAATTAACCCTGCTCTTTCTCCTTACCTCTGTGAGGACAGGTTGTTGGTCTCCTCCCAAGAAGTGTGCCCCCTTGAGGACATCTGGGAGGAAACGACCACTTAGTGGCACCCAGCACAGCTTCCATGAGACAAAGAGGGAGACACTGAAGAGAGCCAGACCGCAGGTGGTCACCAGCAGAGACAACAGGCTCACCGATACATCTAGAGATGGAAGAGAAAAAGGAGGCGGAGATGCTCAGCGAACGGTGAACGCAGCTTTGCCTGTGAAAAATGCTGGCACAGATAAACCAAGCTCCCTACGGAGGACAGACTGTGTTTATTAAGAATGCAAAGTTAAAGAAGAAAAGAAAAGAAAAGAAAAGAATATGTTTAATGAACTATCCAAAAATCTCAGCAATTAGACAGAGATGCATTACCATGTTGATAAGGTGCTAAAAGGCCACATCAAAATATTCTAAACAATCTTAAAAGGGAAAAAATGATCAGGGAGAGATGACCCATTTAAATTATTACCTAATTCTAATAAATAATTATTATTAATTATAATTCTTTTTCAACAGTCATATAATCTTTCCTCTTATTAGGATGTTTTAAAGACTGAATAGATAGAAGAAAATGTGGAAAGATGTCACTCATTCTTTTCTTTTTTTTTAAATCAAAAAGCACAAATCTAACAACTGACACTTTCAGTGCAACACACATAATTATAGGTGAGCAATGGATGGATATTTTGCAGGTGAACAAACCAATGCAAATAATACAGTCAGGAAAACATGTGCAGGAATGTGTTGTGGCCAGACACTGCCTG